AGAAAACAAAGAAATGTGACCTGATAAAAGAGAAGAGAGGGACAGAAGATTGCTTTTGTCTGAGTCAGTGCCTTCCAGCTATAAAAACACACTCATAATTGAACAAAGTTGAGATTAATGACTCAAAGCAAAGAGGAAAAATACACAACATGGCAGAACTGGGTGGCTTAGTAAGAAGTTGTCAAAAGAGGACTTATAGGATTTATTATGTGATTTTTTAGGGAGGCTCCATTAAATGTAGAGTTACTCCCGTTGGATGTCCTAAGGAAGATGTACCTTCAGGCAACCAATTGATGTTACTCTCAAAGAAATACTCATGTTTTCTGATTAGGATTAAAAATAAAATAATCTCAGAACTGAAGGAGACCTTAAACACCAGTGAATTCTGAGACTATCCCAACCATCACCATCTTCTTCTATTTCCCACACCAAAATGGTTTTCTTGTAAAATCCTTTTTCTTTACTAAAGCAAAACATGAAAAAAAAATTTAAATAATCTTGAAATGAGTAAAGCCTTTTCTAAATAGGAAAAAAGTACTAAAGGCATAAGAGCATCTATACTAATAATAGGGTAGGGTAATATGCAAATTGATCATATCGCCATCACTGTAACAACCAATCAGCAGGCTGTTTGCACAGCAGGTGTAGTTGGGCAGGGACTTGCAGCACTGGGGACTTGGGCAAGACCATGGCAGAGAGCCCTCTCTGCACACCTGTGGTGGAGGACCACAGGCACACAAAAAAGCCTCCAACAAGGACCCAGCCAGGGGTCTGCAGGCTTGTGGCCCTGGCCAGGGGTCTGCAGGTGTGTGGAGGTTTACAAGGAGCTGACCCGGGGGTGGGGCCACATCAGGAGCCTCCGTGCATCTGCACTGGTGGTCCACAGGCCTCCCCTGGCTCCGGCCTACCTCTTTGGGGCAATCCATCCAGGAGCCATGAATGGGTGGGTGGGGTCGACAGCTTTGGGATGATGGATTGCAGGGCTTCTGCACTATGACACGGCACAGGCCATGCTTGGGCCCTCCCTCCCCCCTGCCCCAAGTGCATGAATTTTGTGCACCGGGCCACTGGTATTTTAATTTAAAAAATGTAAAGCAAGCATGGATAAACAGTAAAAAGAGTAAAAATATTTGCAACTCACATAACATAGGACTGATTTTTTAAATACTAGCTCCATGTGTCAACACAGCATCTGTTTGAATATCTCCAGTGTTACTCTTGTGCTAATTAACCAGGCAGTTCATTCCACATCAAATGGAGCTTAGTATTGTTCAAAGGGAAAGAGAACAAAACATTTGGTTATAATATCTTAATTGTTTTCACCCCAGCATGTTTGACCTCTTCAAATGCATCTTCTCCTCTAGTATCCAGGAAGCAGAGTAATTACCTTTTTAATGTTATGTAAAATATTCCCATTAATACTCTCCAAACTGCAATTGTTGTGGGTTGGGGTTTTGTTTTGTTTTTTTTGTATCAGTGCTCCAACATAGTTTTGTATCTTTTGTTGTAATAACATTTGCAGAGATTCTTATCCATTACTGCTGACAAAGCCATGTGTTTTTTCACTCAATTGCATGTAATTAGTCTTTTCTTCAGGAACAAAAGAACAGGTGTTTATATCTATTCTATGCAAGATACCATAGTAAGGTTGGTTGAATCTAATGATGTCTAGTGAATCAAACAGCATAATTCTGACAAATGCTCATAGTAACAAGATTTTTTTTTAAAAAGCAATTAAATGTTTTTACGCCTGCCCACACAAAGTGGAAAAAGCAAGGCATTTTAACATTTTAGGATTTATAATAATTTTCTATTAAAAGTTGAGTAACATTTAAATCTTTCTCTAATGTTTTAAATTCCCACTCAGAAAATATATGAATAAAAATTATGTTTTAATTGAAAAATTTACCAATGAAAATATTGGGAAGGGGTATCAGAAAAAAGCATATTAGTAAAAAAAAAACAAAGTAGTAAAATCTGAACAAAGCCTAAAGCTCAGTTAATAGCATTGTGCCAGTATTAATTCTCTAGTTTTTCATAATTATACTATTGTTACATAAATTAGTACTATTAGGGAGGTGAGTGAAGAGTACACAGGGATTCCTGTATTACTTTGTAATTTTTCTGAAGTCTAAATTTATTTCAAAAGGAAAAAATAAAAATAAAAATGTTTGGCTAAGAAGAGTATTTAGCCAATGGCCTAAGTAAACTTTTACATGTCTGCACAAGGAAACATTCATTCATTTGTTCCATTTATGTTGAGTACTTATTATATATCTGAGAGATCATTCTAAGTTCTAAAGCTATATCAAAGATGAAAGCAAAAGTCTGTTTATTCATGAGACTAACATTCTCCTGGGAGGAAGATAAAAAATAAACAAATACACAGCAACAATATATATGCCAGGTAGTCATTACAGCTATGAGGAGAGGGAAAAAATAGAGTATCAGAATAAAGAAAGCCAAGATGAGATATATCATTTTATAAAAGATGATCAGGGAAGGTCGTTTTAACATCTATCAGAAATTTCTTGACAGCACTGTTTGTAAAATGCCCTAAAATATAAAAGATGATTATCCACAATAAAAGAGAATAGATAAATATATTGGGACTATTCATGTAATAGGTTACTCTACAAAAAAAAAAAAAAAAATCAAGCAAATATATAACCATATATGCATCTCAAAACCATAATATTAGGGAAAATTATATATTTATGTACAGTAATAGTTGCACTTTTTAATAAACATTTAAAAACATACAAAACAATACTTGATTTAATAGACATATATGAAAGACTGTATTTTCAATATAGCATTATATGTATTAATATTATATGTATAAGGTGGAGCAAAAGTAGGTTTACAGTTGTAAGTATGGAAAACACAGTTTATTCTTTTATTATTATTTATTAATTATTATATTATTTTCTATACAAACAACTGTAAATCTACTTTAACCCCACCCTGCATATAAGTATTTGTGTATAACATATGTGTGTAGGCATATATTTACAGTAGTCATTGACCCAGCATCAGCAGAGAAAGCACTTACAATTATTTTTCTAGCAAGAGTGAAGGAAGGATTTGTCTTAGCTGAGGCCGCACTTTCATCTAGCCTTCTACCTTCACTCCATGATAAATTGCATGCATCCACAGGGCAACTATCTGGGTTACAGTTGCATCCTATGGAATTGACTATGGTTACCTGACTTAGTTGGGGATTGAATCTATCAATTTCTAATTTTTCAATATTTTTTTTAAAGGCGGGATGGAAAGTACAGAGAGAGGATGTTAATGTTATCATCTCTGGCCACCTCATTTCCTAGGAAAATAAACTGAGATCAAGGGATACCTCAGAGATAGCATGGGTGACACAGCTTAGTGATCTCCCTGGTTCTTTCCATCTATACTTGTTGCTTGCTAGACTAAATCCACATTCTTGTGCAGATGCAATAGATGGAAATCCTACATGGAAAATGAACCATTCTCATTCTTCTGTCCTCAGTTGAAAATGTGAATCATTTAAAGAATGCATACTCACAAACACAAACCAACAATGCAAACCACAATAAGCTAATCAACCACTTTGAAGAAAACTGGAATGGAATTCTTGAAATAAGATTTTCTTCTTTACTATAATTCATATTTTGTAATGTATAATATTAAGTGAACAAAGAATAATTTGGAAGGGGTGGGCAAGATCATTTTCACACTTTAGGAATTGTAGATCTTTCCTCAAATCTTTATTTTTAATTGAAAATATACCTCATCATAAAATATCAGGCTTCTTAGATTACCTTATGCAGTTATGTTTTGGTAGATAGTCAGTCTGACTATAAAATCATATCCATCAGAAGACAAATTCAATTGGACATATATTTAATGAACATTTACTATACACTCAAAAGTAAGATTCTAGTAGTGAATACAGATAAACTTTAAAAAATACTATGGCACCCCACCTCATTTTAGAACACAAATTTTCCTCAGTTTATGCAGAAAATGAAAGGTATGATGACAATGAACATCCTTATGCTAAGGTTTGTATTGAAAATATTTCCAAAATTAAAATATACTTTATTAAAACTTGATGATTTTGTTGAATTATTAAACTTATCAACTCTAAAGTTGAATTAGTTAAAAATTATTTCCAGTGATATTATTAAATTCATGCATGGTAGGGGGGCGAGGGGGTGGTCCCCTCAGCCTGGCCTATACTCTCTCACAATCTGGGACCACTGACTCCTAACCACTCTCCTGACTGTCTCCCTGATCACCCCTAAGCACTCTGCTTGCCTATCTCATTGGCCCTAACTGCCTCTGCCTGCCTGCCTGATCACCCCTAATTGCCTCTGCCTTGGCCCCTACCACCACAGCTTCCTCTGGAATGATGTCCCAAAGGTCGTTTGGCTATCCAGTCTAATTAGCATATTCTGCTTTTATTATTATAGATAATATCTGGCATTTTATATTAAAAATATAAACAATGTTTCAGGTCCACCAATGTTAATTATCTTGCTCTTATCACATATGCTATAAATCATAATGTTATTTTAATATATTTTATATTTTCTAAATCTAAATAAAATAACATGCAATATACATATGTATCCAATATTTATATTAAGAAGTAATTTTTGTCTGCCTGAAATGATGTTCTAAGAGTTATTTTAACATGTTTACTATTTAATTCTAAGACTGAAAACACTGTCTTGTGCTGTAAAGTCTGCCTTGTTTCTATGAGTACATATCATCCTGACTACAAACACTGGGATGGAAGGAAAACTGGGTGGAACTTCTTTGGGCTTCCTAACTTCTCATTCAGTACACAACCTTTCTCCATTATTGTCTCTTTGCTATAGGGAATCATAGCAAGAAAAATATACCTATTTAATTGTAGATAAATAGTTCAAAGGCAGCCTGGCCATGCTTTAAGAATATAATACTGGGCTATACATTTTATTGTGAATGGATTGCAACAATCTAATGTTTCTTACTGTAGTCGCTGTTTTCGTCCTTGGTCCCATCAATGGTACCATCTGGGTGCATCTGCAGGAAATATCCCTGCTGGCTGAATAACCTTGTCACAATTCCTTTCAGCTGGGGTTCTGCAAAACAAAAAGAAATAATTATTCAAATTGGTACTTTGTTTATAAAAATGCTCAATTGAAAATTGCCAGAAACATTTTCTAAGTAAATGCATAGATGCCAAAGGCTTAAATATTAAAATAAGTATTTGAAAAGGGAGCATTTCAGGAACATATCTTCTCTTCTTATTCCTTCCAGACGTAGGACCATAATACTATGCAGCAATAAACCAAATGTAAATAAATAGAAGCTAATTATGATTAGCAAAACACAGAGGCATACTAAAAAGTGAATTACTTCTCTCTCCCATGCATCTAGTGTCTGACTGCAAGTTTATGTTCCCATTCCAGAATCACTGTTTAGACCAAGCTGCCCCTATAGTTCTTAAACTTCCAGCAGTAATAATTGACTCCTGGAAGAACTCGGTTTCTGCTGAATGTCAACTATCCATCAGAAACTTCTAGGTTTTGAAATTCTGGCCAAGTTCAGTCAGAAAAAATGGCTTGGATGAGAACCATAAGAAAGAGCAAAAACCATGGCCAGAAGTTGTCACAGGAAAGTATGTGGAAACAGATTTCACCTTCAAGAAATACCTGACCAGAGTGGAGACAGTACTACAGTGATTTTTCCAGCCCCTAATAAATCAATTTGTTTATATTTCTCTAATTATTTCAAATTTGAAGTGGTTGGTCCTCAGCTTTTAAAAATTCCCTCTTATGAATACCACCAAACTGAACTTTGTAAACACATTTGAATTTTTGTACATCACCTAAAATAAATATTTAGTGCTTCTCAATATGGTGCTGACTGACAGCAACAATCCCTTTTCTATAGCATCACCACCATCTTTATTTCTACTTCAGTGCTGAGCAAAAATTAGATTATTCTAGTGCATTTGTAGACCTAATTATTTCATAAAAATAAGAACAAAAAGTTCTGCTTCTCAAGGCAAAGATAGAAAACATATGATTGAGGCAAAAATAGAAAACATATAATTGCTGAAGTGGCAACATGTTATCCTTAAAGGGACAATCACCAAATTTCAACTACTGACAGTCAACTTCATTCTTTCACCCACTTTTTAAACCAATATTCACTCTGAATCTCTTTTTGTCATGCAATATGCTAGGTACTGTGTGTTAAACTGAACACATTTATTCACATTCAGGTCTAAATAAGAATTCTAGTCAAGGATTCAATGAATTTAACTTTTTGGGAATGGATCTGTTCCCTATAGCATTTGCCTATGATCACACTTCTGCACATATGACTTGATCACACATATTTGGGGAAATGAGGCGATGCCTGTATAAACATGTCCTGTTCAAAGCAATCCTAAGAATCAGGAAAAAATGCCTAAAATTTTGGAAAGGAGGAAGGAGGGTTCAAAAAGAGAAAATGAACTGAACTTAAAATTTGCCATACTGATTTATAACCATAATTATCTTTGTAAGTTAAATTTATTTAATTTGTGGACCATAATTTCCTCACCAATAATATCTAAAAAGTTAAAGAACTTTAGGTCCCTCCTGTGAGTCTCTATTGACTGTGTACATTAGAATCATCTGCCCTGAGTGGTGGCAGAAATCAAGAAATGTGTGCATCTTCAATGTGCTGATTCCAAGAGCCCCACCCAATCTGACATACTGGAACATGTTGGAAGAGCATGGAGCTGGCTAACCAACCTCACTACAAAAAAAAAAAAAAAAAAAAAAAAAAAAAATCCTATACCCCAACTGCCATCTATCAAATCTTACCAACTTTCCAGAGTTAGTTCAAGACCACCTCCTCACTAAAGAATTGGAGGTCGTAAGTGAGAATCACTTTCATAACTAGAGGAAGTAAAAGGATACGTGTGCCTCTGCTGTGAAGCTAACTGATTGCCCGGCAGGTCCTGCTGTGGCACACTTAGCTGTCAGAAGACCCAGCTTTGAGCCACAATTGTCAAGTGGTCTTTAGCAAGTCATTTAACATTTAAGCCCCAGTTCTCACATCTGTATAGAGGGAAAATAATTCCTATTCTAACTACAATCATTGAGAATGTCAAATTAATAAACACATGTGATAGTATGAACTTTAAACACACACACACACACACACAAAAAAAAAAAAACAACAAACAAACAAACAAAAAAAAAACACCCATTAGAGTATAAATACAAATGAAGGTCTAATTTTTCAACCATCAAAATCAAAGAAACCATGTGAGGTAAAAGGAGTATTCTGTGAACAGACTCTGTCTTCTGATTTCTGTTTTAATAAAATAGTAAGTGAGTTTGTTGAAGTCATTAAAGTAAACAGAACGCTAAGAGTAGAAACTATAAAAAGATAGAAGGAAAAGGACAACTCTTATAATTCATATTTTCTTTCTATTCAGCATGATACGATCCCTTTAAGAACTTATGTTTTTTGTTGATTATGAAATGCATGGCAGCTGAGTCATTAATGCCTACAAATGATTGTGTTGTTTTGTTTTGTTTGTTTTTTTTGTAATCTTTTTCTGTAGCTGTAATTAAGCACCTCTTTTGCTATAGTGAAACTATCCATAAGCCACCCCCACTGTTGATGCCCTGAGAATTCAGGTTGCTTATTCCTGTTCAAAATAATGAGCATTAGGCTTTTATACCAAACCCCACTGCTCAAGAGAAGAGTCAGAACAAGCTCCAAGTTTGAGTTTTAATGATGTGATGACCTATGAAAGTGAATGTCTTACACTATAGATGTTTCAAAGGAGGGCTGACCATCCATTGAACAAATGTCCTGAACCTAGGATGTGTCATAGAAAACAGTATCACCTACCCTACAGGTCTATATCCTTATTACCTCTTATTACCATCTATCAAGTCCTACCAATCATTCTAAGTTCAGCTCAAGATCACCTTTTCTATAAAGGTGTGGTGATCATAACTGAAGATCATTTTGATAATTGGGGGATATGTTTTATTGTATTTTAAAGAAAGGACTTCAAAAGTGAGACCATTTTTTTTGTCATATCTAATATGCTGATGCACTCATCACACATGCTTTTTATTTGTCAGATTTTTCATAGGGGTCTAATAGATTAATAAAACCTTATTTTCCTCAGAGAGTCCCCAGTGTAATGCATGAAACATATGAATATATAATACTAGTGTGGGATAGTTGTTTAATAATGGATAGAAGCAGCATGACATGATGGCACCAAGGAACAAGGGAATAATTCTGTCTCGAGGTTGGAAGAAGGAATCTCATCTGTCACTAGAAAAGTGAGTAGAATCATCATAGGCTAAAAAAAGGGGAAAAAAAGTGAGAGAGAGAAATGACATTTCAGACATTAAAAAAAATGGAGGGAGGCAACAAGCAGCATGGTAGACTCTGGGAAAGATGTAGAGTCTGGAATAGGCATAATATATGGCAGAGGTTCTCAAATGCTGACATGCAGGTAGAGTGACTATTTTTAACAAATGTTCACAGGTCAATAGTGAAATAAGATAAATAGGCTCAATGGATTACATTTTTATTAAGCTTTTTTTCTATTTTATTAGTCTCTTGATTCTAAGATTATGTTTTTCCATTACTTTTTTCTGTTTTTATTCATTGGTGACTAAATTATTATAAGAAGGGGGGGTTGATTTGTTATCTTTTGTACTCTGAAATTATGTAGCAAATACTGTTAGTTTTTCTCCCAAATTAATTTCCTCTTTTTTCTAGGCACCCAGCTAGACCATATGTCCCAGCCTCCCTTGCAGATAGGTTTGGCAGATGCATGAGTATCATATGGAATGTAAGTGAAAGTTATGTGTGTCTTTTTCAGGCCATGGATTTTAAAATAATATATTCTCCTCCAAATTTTCTTTATTTTAACACTGGCTGGATTTAGATGACAAAGCTGTAAGGGATGTAGCAAAATAGAAGAATTCTGAACCCCTGAAAAACTGGTGGAGAAAAAACAGCCATCATAAATACCCATATCAAATAGTTAGATGAATAATAAATAAACTTTGACTGATTGTACACAGTGATTTCCTTCCTATATGGAAATGGATGGAGTGGTGGGGAGTAGCTTTACAGTGGAGAAATCTAAAAAGTAAAAACACTACCGCAGTCATGTCATTGAGGTTAACATGAACAGTCATAAATCATGTTGACAGTATGTACCCTTGATATGATGTGATGAGAAGGGTACTTTATCTCTTTGATGTCCCTTCCAAAATTCCATAACCTTCGTCTAACATCAAACAAATTCCAACTGAAGAACTTTCTAAAATATAGCTGACCAGTACCCCTCCATACTGTCAAGATTATCAAGAATAAGGAAAGTCTGAGAAATTGTCACTGCCAAGAGTAGATTAAGAATACATGTTAACTAAAGATAATGTGGTATTCTAGATGGGATACTCGTACTAGAAGAAAAAAATAGATAGAAATCAAAGAAATCTAAATGAAGTATGTACCACATCAAACAAACAAAACAAAAAAACTTTGCACAGTAAAAACCATCAACAAATCAAAAAGACAATCTACTGAATGAAAGCAGATATTCACAATGATACGTCTCATAAGGGATTAACATCTGAAATTCATAAAGAACTCATACAACTCAAAATTAAAGCTCAAATAATCCAATTTAAAAAAAAAAATTGGCAGAGGACCTGAATAGACACTTCTCTAAAGAAGTCATATATATGTGGCCATATTAAAAACATAGGGAAGATGCTCAAGATCATCAACCTATATGTGCATGTTGACCAATGTTACCCCAGTATGTCTCAGTGGTTGAACATCAACCTATGAACCAATCAATGATAATTCTGGGTGATCACTTCATAAGTTATATAATTTTCTAACCACTCTGATGTACACCTGAAACTAATATAAAATAATATTAAATATATAAACTGTAATTTAAAAAAATAACAAGGTTAAGAATTCATATTCATCACTGCTTCTGCTTAGGATGACAGAGCAATTTCAACAAAATGTTTGAATCAAAGTCACTTAAAAAAGCTGAGACTGGAAGAAGCTATCCAGACATTCTTGC